TATCTATCTATCTATCTATCTATCTATCTATCTATCTATCTATCTATCTATCTATCTATCTATTCGCTTCCCCCCCTTCTTCCCCTTGTGACGTTTTAACACTTCTTTCGTTTTTACCATTTCAGATTTTTCTCTCTGGCTGAAGAAAAAAAATAGATAATTTAGTTTTTTTTTTTTTCCAGGAGTCCAAAAGTAGAAATTGCAATGAAGTTTATAAAGCGTTGGGAGTTTTGCTCTGCGCCTGCAAAATTAATTCTCCCCCCACCCACCCTCTTGCTAAAGCCCTTTTTGCTAATTCGTCACTCAGGAACTAAGGCCTGATTTGTCCCCGGTGGTAACCAGTTTGTTAATCACAGTCCCGCAAACAGACCAGGATGCAAGAATTGGGAAACCGGTGGGACTAGTCCCATAATTAGAAGAACGTGTCTGATTTTTCAGCGTTCAGGGGACGGGGGGCAGACGGGCTATATAGTTGCCGACTCTGCCTGGGATGGTTAAAAAAAAGGACGTCCTTCGGACCTTAGTAAGGGAGTATCGGTAGCCGTGTGCCCTCGATGGCGCGAGAGATGCTTCCGATTTGCACTAAAAAGCGTGCCATCGTTCCGCCATCCCACGAGATGTTTTGTCAGTGCTTGGAAGGACACATTCTCCTTAAGGACTAGCCCCTTGCTTTTAGCCCCAAGCCGACAACACCGAGAAAGAACTTGAGAGCACGGGCGTCCCTCATTTCTAAGTGCCAATCGGGCTGCCGAAGCACAGATTTTCACCGCGCTAGTAGAGGGAGGGTATCCACTGGAAGTAATATATCTTTGGAGAGTGCCAAAAAGCGAAAAATACCTCCTCTCTCTCTCATTCTTAACCAGGGTTTGAGGACGATTGCCTTAGGGGGGTCGATCGAGGAAGGCTGGTCTGACACACAACCAGGTTGCCCTGGGTGCGAACCCAGGGGGGGGTCCGAAAGGACTGGGGAAGGGGAAGGACCAACAGCTCTCAATTGGGGAACAAAATTGCTTCCTACGTGTTTTGTTTCCTCCCATCAAATCCCGTATTTTGGCTTCGTGCCTCGTAGTTTTGAGTTGCAAAAATGACCTCCCGCCCCCCCATTTCTGAGCAATTGTTTTGTGTGTGTGTGTGTGTGTGTGTTTTTTATTCCTCTTAAGAATGCAACGTTAAAAAAAAAAAAACAGCATTTTGCTGCTGTGTTTTTTCCCCCCCATCACGGTTCGATTTTACGGTTCGATTATTATTATTTTTTCCTTCTACAGGATTTGTGAGTTGTTTTAACATCTGCTATCCAAAAATTATGGGCTGAAAAAGAAAAAAACCCACCCTCAAATTTCCTCTTTTTCTTTTTTTTCTTTTTACAAATATCCTTGGTTTGGGTCAACATTATATATATATATAAATATATATTTATATATATATTTGCTCCCTGGTGCTCTCTGTGTGCGTCTCTCTCTCTCTCTCTCTCTCTCACTGTTTTAATTTATTTGACAAGACTTCTAATTGTAATTTTTCACTGCATATTCCTCGTTATTATTTTTTTTTATTATTATTTGTTTGCGATTTTGGGGTGTGAAGGAGGACTATCGTGGCGAAGAAGGAAGAAAGGGCTCGGAGAAAATTTTTGGGGGGGAGGAGGGTGGGGATGGGCGCGGGGCATTCTTCATCTTTAGAGCTAACTACTCTAAAACAAAACAAAAAAAGTTGTTTGGTAAGAATCAATTAGTACAACTAATTGTAACATATTCTTTTAAATAAATTGATTTATTCGATGAAATGGACCCCCAGCCTTCATTTGGTTCGCTTTCGATGCCTATAAAGGGATTCAGTTTACATGATGGTTTTATGACTTTTATTCATAAGAATCGGCCTCTCATCTAAAAAAAAAAATTATTAGAAAGTTAATAATTAATCATTAGTAAAAAAAACACTTTTCAACCTCAAATTCTGGAATGACTTGTGTGCGTGCGTGTTTCCTATGGCCAGGGCCTGAAAGAATTGTACGTTTCATTTAATTGCCATCCTGAAAAAGTGGCCCTTATGTATATTTAGATTTGGGGTGGGATGTAATTCCTAAGCAGGGATCGGCCACCTTGAGGACTAGAAACTTGGAAATGCTTCGACACACTCTTGGTTTCTGGGATTCAGAGCCGTTGGAAGTTTTTGAGCCCCAGAAACAACTGGCGGAAAAAAAACATTTGACATGAACTTTTCCTGGATTTTATTGTAACTTCAGGCGTCAGCTGGTATTAATAACCCTGAAATCTTGACATCAGGGTGGATAAAATTAATAAATCATTAATCACCATTAAAAAAAAAACATGTTAAAATTCAACCCGGAAAGGAGGGAAAAAAACAACAGGGAAAGAAGTTTTACTTGGAAGAGTTTCCAGATGGCTTTTTCTCGTGGGCTCGAAATGTTGACCCTGGTTGGAATTTCTTTTTCTGGATTTTTCAGCGGGAATACGCTCGTTTTCTCTGAAATATATGTCTCCGTGCACACCTGCAGAATAGGAAATGCACCTTGCCCAAAGTGATCAACCTGGATCCTTGTATGATCCAAGGCTCATATTTTATGTATTATGAAATTTATCTGCTTCTGGTCTCATCTCTCCTACCTAGCCACTTAACCAGAATGGACTTCCTTCCTTCCTTCCTTCCTTCCTTCCTTCCTTCCTTCCTTCCTTCCTTCATTCATTCATTCATTCATTCATCCATATCTATCATC